ATCACCGAAAGATCATGCCAGCTCTGGTTTGCCCAATTCCGAGATGGTAATGAATCCCTTGAAGACGAATCGCATGGACATCGTGCCACAGCCATCGACAACAATGAATTGGAACAATTAATTGAAGCTGATCCAATGCAAACAACACGAGAACTTGCCAAACATCTCCAATGTGATCATTCAACAATTGTACGCCATTTGGAAATAATTGGAAAGACAAATCGTAATGGACAATGGGTTCCACATCAATTGAGTGTTGAGAATCTGGGAGCACGCGTTTCGATCAGCCATATCTTGCTCCATAAGTCGAAAAGAAGCCATTTTTTTGAGAATATCTTGACGATGGATGAGAAGTGGATTCACTTTGATAATACTTCTCGAAAAAGGCAATGGCTGAGCAAAGGTCAAGCGCCAATTCCAACTCCAAAGCCGGATTATCATGGGCGCAAAGTGATGTTGTCTTGCTGGTGGAATATCAATGGACTTGTTCATTTTGAGTTATTAGAGCCCGTAAAAACAGTCGCTTCATCTTATTTTATTCAACAACTCAAGAAGGTTGACGAAATTTTGCGTGAAAAAGGCCTAAATCCCTCAACTATCAACTTTCTCCGTGATAATGCTCCAGCTCACACGGCAAAAACCTCTTGTAAGGAACTAGAGAAGCTAGGATGGAAGGTCTTACCACATGCGCCGTATAGTCCAGACTTAGCACCCTCCGATTTTCACCTTTTCAGATCGATGCAACATTCCCTTGAGAATTGCCAGTTTAAGAATGCAAAAGAAGTCGAAAATTGGGTGACCAACTACTTTGCATCACAGAATCAAGCGTTCTTTGAGAAGGGGATCCGCAATCTGAAGCAACGTTGGAGGGATGTCATAGATAATAATGGTGCTTATTGTTTTAAATAAATTGTTATCTAAAAAAATTTTGGATGACTTTAATGTTTGTAAAAAAACGAAATTTCATTTGCACCAACCTAGTAGAGCCAATTTTCCAGCTCAGATTAAGCCAGGCTACCTCAAACCAAGGTCAACTATCATATAAAATCGAAAATTTGCATATTTTTGCCAGTTTCAGCTTAGCTTTCCGATAGGTAGAAGTCAAAAAGAGAAATCATATTCTTGTGCTTCTCATTCAGCAGTTTAATATGTAAATTGACAAATTTCGATAAGCACAGTGTCGATTTCTCTGCTCACCAAAGTCATTGTTTAATTCAGATCTACACAGCTCGTACATTGCACTCATTTCGAGATCCGGCAACGATTTCTTCTGCTTGGGCGACTCTACTTTCAACGGTAAGTTATCGACAACAGAATTTTAAACCTCTGAAATATTTGTAAAGAATTCTTAAGGATTACTACGGTTTAAAACTTTATTGGTACTTCCAGGGTCGAGATGGCTACGTTGACTCAACAAGTATGATCGTTGAAACGTGCAGAAAATTGATTGAATTGCTCAAAGGTGCTTTTGAAATTTCTAGGCTTAGAAACTTTAGCTCTTTCCAGAAACGTGATCTTTTGGCCAAAAAAGTCAGTTTCATGGTTTTTCGTCAAAAAAAAGTCAGTTTTACACTTCGGGGACGCTTCGGGAACTTTGAGCAATCCAACACAAAGACACCGGCTTGTTCTACCACTTTGGAAGCACTTCAAAAAATCAAACAACGGACCAATAAGAGATTTGGAAGTGGATCATCGATGGATCATTTTACGGCAATGTCTACACACAAGATGGCAACAAAATTTTGCCTATATGGGGCGTTTTTCACTGGATTGCTAGTGAATTAATTAATGAATTCACTAGGATTTCAGTGAGAAACACCCCATATAGGCAAATCCACCGTGTTTGCAATGAAAAACTCTCTAGGAACTTGAAAAGATTCAACCAACTCCTCGATTTACAGTCGATGATATATTGTTTTTCCACTGGAATCCTAGTGAATTTTGTGTAGTTCACTGGGATCCTAGGCTGTAGAGGAAACCCTCGTCGTGCCAATATTTTAAAACCATGGTTGTTGTCTATCTTGTAAAAACATCTGGAAATCTTGAAAGTAAAAACAGGGAAAATGCAACAAACTGAAAAGACCACGAAACTGACTTTTGTTGGCGAAAAGAGCCAGAGCTTCATACAAGAATATCTTGATATCTTCAGAAATCAAAGAGATCGAAATTCTCGGCTCTCCCGATCTTTGCCTTGTCTCGTTCACGACGAATATCGTCGATGTGTATGCGCTTGGGGAGAAGCTTATTGATGAGGTTAGAGAAATATTTTGAACTTGCACATCACCTTTTTGCAGATTTCAACTGATTTCTTTGTTCTTATCCTATTCCTTGTCCTATTCCTACCTTACCTTTTCCGAATTTTGAGCTGAAGTCATTTTTTGCCAAAAGGTTTAAAAGATTCAATGATAGGGTTTAGATTGCGGTTAAAAAGCTTTGTGAATCTGCTTTATTCTAAAAATTGTAGTGACAACTGTTACAATTAACTCCAATAAGAAATTCAGGACTGGAAGCTGGAGATCGGTGCGAATTGTCTCCGCTTACCGATCACTCTCGAGCTCTACGAAAAGAATCGAATACAAACTTTTGTCGCTGATCTTGAGGTAAATTTGTGAACTTTAATTTTATATTTTTCCAGCTTTCAATTTAATCTATTAAGTTTTTAAATCAGTTTTTGATCTAATAAATCATTTTTTTTTTTTGCTGCGTAAAGAATTTTTGGTATTTCAGGATGCAATCTCGGCCCTTTTAATCGACACAACCTATGCCTCGGAGAGCAAAACCGCAGCCTTACATAGAATGATTGAATCGGTGAATGTTGTTAGCTAATCCTTAATTAATCAATTTAAATCTATCAAGTTTTTGATCGAATTTAGACAATGGACCATTGGCTTGTTGAAGAGATGCTACGAGCAAAGCTTTTAGCCGAACACTCGACGCCGGCTCCAATCGAGAGAACATACTTGAGATCGGTGAGTGACTGAAAAAAGAAAGCCTCTGGTGAGTCCAGGAACTAGGCGAAGTCTAATTGTAGGCCAAGTAAGTCCATGTTTTAGGTGATCAGTTCTGTACAGTAGACCTGTAACAAAAACATCTGTCGGTCCTTTTTTTGCCGTTGGCAATTTAAGATTTTTCGTGCTTTTTCCAGCACCAACCCTTCAATTTTGACTATTTTGACTATCATAAAATTATGCAGAATAAAATTACGCGTCCAATGATACCAAAATTAACTCAAAATTTAATATCCATGAAAAGTTATGAGGCAAAAGGTAAAGTCCCGCCCATCGGGGTTTAGGTTTTTAGCCAACAACTTTGCGTGGTTATTACATTTTGAGCTAATTTTGGTATCATTCGAAGCGCAATTTTAATAATAGAATAATTGAATAATATTGAATAATAGTCATTGAATAATAGTCAAAATAGTAAAAATTGAAGGGTTAGTGCTGAAAAAAAACCACGAACCTTATTGAAACCAATATTTTTTAAGGATAGAAACCGATAAAAGAGAAATCAACTCAAAAACTTTAAAAATTGATTTTTAAAGAGATATTAAACAAGAAAAACTATTTTCTTTTAAAAAGATCTCTATGGGCATAGTGGCATTTGGGAAATCCATCCAGGGCCAAATGATAAGCAGGATCGACTCTATCACATGCTCTTTGAAGATATTTCTTAAGCGAATCAATGCTGGAATGCGGTTTTGAGCAATTTTTGCTTCAAGAACATTCCAAACACTGAAGTCTATCGGATTAAGATTAAGAGAATGGCTACTAAAAGTGGCCAAATCGAGAAAATGCTGTTCTGAACCAGTCGAGCTTTGTGAGCATAAACATCATCCTGCATAAAACACCAAATCCTGTTGCCAAAGTGATTTTTCGGCTCACGGAAGAAGATCTTTCTTAAGTTTGTCAAGATAGTTGTTGGAACTAACATTGATGCCCTAAGGCGGTTCCAATAATCCTGCCGCACCCTGTAGTAAAGCCAGAAATGTCAGCCTCTTGTTTTGCCTTTGTAACCCAGGCAAGTCGAATCGAGGCAATGTTAAGGCCAGATTCTGCTCTGACTTCTGGGCCAAAATATTCTGGTTCACCAAAATATTTACCATTGACCATCTAGCACTTTTCCTAAACCGATTTAGCAGTTTAGCGTTTACCAATTTTGCTAAATCGATTCACCAATTTAACATTTAGCAACTTTGCTAAATGCTAAATGCTGAAAATTGGCTAAATTTTGGCTTGTTTTGTAGCCAAAGTATGTTGGAGTTCGAATCTGTGATTGATTTTTTTGATATCTTTGTTCAGAGGAGAGCTATAAGTGTTTTTCGGAGCTGGCGGCGCCGCTAAACACCCTCGGAGATGTTTAGCAAAACTCAAGGTCCACTAAAAAGCTTGGTTGACTTAAGCCTAAGCCTAAGCTTGATGGACCTAACACTCTCGAAGGTGTTTAGCAAAAAAAAAAAATTTAGTAAAATATTGCTATATGCAAACTTGCTAAATGCGTTGGTGGACCCATTGAATTTTGTAAAACGGAAGTTTACTCTTTAGCAGTTCTTGGATCCAGGCTTTGGCGGGTAAACTGTAATTTCTGACAGTAAAGCCAGAAAAAGTCAAACCACACGGACAACTTGCCTTTTGCTATCAATCAACATTTCAACAAAACTCGCCAATTTCAGATCAGCATCGACGGAAGAAAAATGTCGACAATTATTGAGAAATAGCTTTTCATATGTAAATTTCCAATAAATAATCATATCTTTATTTGCTTATTATCTCAAAAATGACATCACAGAATACCCATATCGGTTTCGTCCACGGAACTTTTGACTTAATGATATACAACTTTGAAAAAAACGCAAACGCAAGGGATCTATTACAGCAAAAGTTTTCTTAAAAGTATGCTAGATTCCTTGCGTTTACGAAAAAACACAATAACAGACTATTTTAAGATTAGGGCACATTCACTGAGCGGAAAAGTTTTAAAACAAAACAAATTTCAATTGTTTAAACCATTTTCTCATACCATTTTTGGGGTTTCCGATTGAAATGCTTCTGAAATTGGCAGTTGAAATTTGAATAAAATAAATGAACAAACCTTTTCTACGTATTGACATAAACAGTATTGCTTCTTGCAGTGTTTTGGAGAGAAATCACTGACACCGTGCTGGGGTCGAGATGGGAAATTGATTCGGCCCTGGAAATTCGATCGATCGATTTGTTTCGAAAAGTTACTGCAAAGCACAGACAAGCTGATATTCGTATTTTATTTGGTATTTGAGTTTTTCTTACCCTGATCCATTTCGTGCACTAACTTTAACAAATAACAAATCTACTGGAAATTCTGTATATTAGGAATTAGCTGAATGAGAAATGAACTGAAAAGGGAAGGCCAATTGGATAGGCTGGCCAAATGACATGAGCCATCGATCATTCGACGCTGAATTTCACGCTGAATCCGAATCCGCTTCAAATATAAGTTGATTTTAAACTGCTTCTCATAGAAATGTTTAGTTAAGGTTTGAAGCGGAGAACAATTAATTTTGAAAATCCAAAAAAGTAGAACGATGGACCAGAACTAGAGACGGTTTGCCTTCTATTCTAACCCACTGTATTCTATTCTAACCTTGTATTCTAATCCACTGTATTCTATTCCAACCTTGTATTCTAACCCACTGCCACTCGGCTATCACTGCTTTTTAAAGTCCCTGAGAAATCTGCTTATGAACTCGGGGTGTGTTTTTTGAAAACCCATACAAAACGCTTATAACTTTTGACAGCGTGCCGTTTAGCAAAAACGGGGATCAGATTCGGATTCAGCGTGAAAGTAGAACGTCGGGATGATCTGCGTCGGATGATCTATGGCTTATCTCATTTGGCCAGCCTATCCAGTTGAAATTCCCTGGTGAATTTCTTTAACTTAATTTCTAGAGCAATTCAGCTATTGTTGTTAAAACCTGATTTGCTAAGGAATCAAACTGTGAATTGAATTGAATCAAAGTTACTTAGAACAGACAAAATCTAAAGGAAACATTACGGTAGACTTTCAAATTATCTATCTTTTAAAAAATGTTTTAATAATGGGAAATAATGGCAAGTGAATAACTACCAAGTTGAATCAGGTGGTCTAGAAAGTCCACAGCTCAATTCAAACCTTAAACTTCAAGTTATTCAGCTTATTTCGCTAAAGATGAGCCAGTAAAATGTGTCTTTATGTTATAAAAAATATTATAAATATTATTTCCAAAGAAAACTTTTCGTTAATAAAAGCTACCATCGAAGTGTCCTTAATGAATCCCTGTGAGTACTTCAGGATGAGATTTCGGGCTTTCTCCTCGATCTGGAAACTTTTGTAAAGATCGGGAAAGCTTGTTTCGATTATTTATCAGTTTATCTGTTTTTAATTTTAATAATTTCCAACCTCTCTGGGGGTGACGGTTTTGTTGACGGGAGAAGTTGGATGCAGTGCAGGTCCTCCACCTCCTTCTCCACCTACAACCGCTCCTCCGCTCGCCTCAATTCGAATCAATCTCTCCACATCTTTCACACAGTCTGTTGTGTCGTGGTAAAGGAGTTGAATCTGTAAATTACTTCCAAGATTAAGCCTGAATCAGTAGATAATCTGCAAAACGTTTTGGACTTGTAAAGCAGTCCAGTCCAGTGGACTGACTGGATTGGCGGGCTGACTGAGTCTGAATTCATGTCTAATATACTCTATCGATATTCTACTCATTTCTACTTGCTGAATAACTTCTCCATTTTACGCTTGATAAACCAGTTCAACTCTTCAACCCACCACAACTTTGTGACAAGAGATCTGCCCGCGGTCCTCAATCCCAGCCAGATAACCATATCTCATCAAAATCTTGTTAGCACTCTGGACACAATGTCGGAGACCGATTCGAATCTGGAAAAGATTTGATGATTGAAATTCTAATAGTTAGTTAGGAGCAAGACTCTAATCATCTGATTATCACAATTTATCAACTACATTAGATGTTTTTTGTCAGCTCTTACTGTAACTAAATCTACCTGTTTTCTGATAATCGCACATCCAATGATCCCAGCAAATAGCGTGAAACACCAAACGAGGCAGAAAATAAAAACTGGCAACCCTCCACCCTTTGGACTTGTAAAGAGAACAGCTAGTAGAATGGCCAAGGAAAAGACCATCCAGATAGCGATCACTCGACCGTATAACGTGGAATAGCTAAATGAATAAGATATTTAGTCATTCATGTGTTGATTCTAATTTAAACTTGACCAGGATTGATTCAGAGCCAAATTTCCAAGTTAAACCAAGCCTTTGCTTTACCCTAGTTTTCCAAACTCTAGTCTTTAGCCTTTTGAATCTTCAAGGCTGTAGGCATAGCCTGAACTGACTAGTCATAGCTGTTAAGGGTAACATCACAGCTTACAGTCTGAATCGATAATCATTTGTAATCAACTCCATTGCGGTGATGAAATCGTCTGCGGGTAGCTAAAAGTGAATCAAAATAATAGAATTTTGTTCAATTATCGGTCTCAATAATGTAAAGCGGATCAATTTGATTAGTTCCAAACTATCTAATCAATATCAATCTAACCGTTCCAAACGTTGAACTAATCAATTGTCTTTTGGACTAAAGGAACTTCTTGTCAACTCTCACCTCAACTCCTCCAGCCGCCAAGATTGCCGGCATGTTGTAAGGGTTATACCGCGGTGGGACAACCCATGCACAGTGTGAGTTCTCCGGGTAGATCGTAGCCACGAGTTTTCCGTTCTCTGAAACATACAAAAACATTCTTGATTAGATTCTTGATTGATAGCGATTATCTGGTATTGCTTTTAATAACAAAAGCTTACTCAATAAGTATCTCCCCGGCTCTTGCTCAAGCGATGGCATTGTGGTGATGATTTTCTTTGGTTTGTACTCGTCCTGCTGCGAGAAGACCGGATTTAAACGGGCTGGGTCTAAACATTGTAAGGTCAAACTTAATGCTCTGCAGAACTGTTCCCTAAATACTAAAATTTTCTTACCTGCTATTATCATAGTTGGTAAAGGAGTGACCGCTTGTGGTGGGGCGTCTTTGTCCTCCTCGATCGCCTCGATCTCCGGGTCGGGTCCATCATCCAAAACAAGTGAGTGACGTCTACCCAATGGACCTTCGTCATTCATATCTAGAAAAGTTACTGGATCAGCTTAATAAGCAAAATGATTCGGATAGATTATTGGCGGAGTCGAATACTATCTGAAAATTCGAGAAAACTTTTGAATTCCTTTGAATTTTGGGAATTCCAGAAAACTTTTGAGGAATGAGCTGGCCCAATTGAGTTCCCGATCACGAAAATCTTAATTGAAGCAGATCAGATCCGATCAGCTTCGAATTGAGTCAGAACAGATTGAATTAGGGTATTTTTTTTTTGCTTTTCTTTGCTTTTCAAAAAGAAGTTATTCAGCGGAAAATTTGTACCGTCTGGTAAAGCGTGCTGCTCTTTTGGAGTCCGTAAAGCGGAAGGAGCGGTAAGCGACTGACAAGGGAATGGTCAGAAGTGGAAGCGACCCTTTGGGATGAGTGATTTAGCACTTTAGCATTGCTCCTTGATCTTTAATGAATTGGAAATTGTTTCTAGAGATTAGAGCCTCTCAAGTACGATTCAATTGAGCAAAATATGTGTAATATGATTTGAACCCGAGCAAAAAGCAAAAAGCCGATAGATTTCTTTGTATACCGTCCTCTTATCCACTGGACTATCAGCTAATATTTGGTTGTCGAGTAAAAAACCTTTTGATGCCAAAAACTTCTTGGCCAAGTATCTCGCTTTTGAAGATAATATAGTTATAGCTGTAGTTTGAATAAATATCTCAGAGCCAAGTATCTCGCTTTTTTGGTTTTTGGCAACTTTTTTTTACTAATATTTTCATTTTTTACACAACTAATTTTTACAGCATCGTGATTAGTGTGGTCTATTCTATAAGGTCGGTCCTGAATCGATCAACGTTCGCGAGCTGACAAAGGAATGACCAGAAGTGAATGTGACCGTTTGGGATGACTCATACCTCATTCGATAGATCTCATGATGAATATTGAGGCCCAAAAAAATTAGGTCCCTAAAGTAACTCTACAACGAGAAATGGGGCTGGCAAGAAGCAAAAATGAGATTTTTGACCCTTCTTGACGAGGCTGGAACTTTTTCCTGAATTTTTGAATAATCTTTTTTGCATTTAATAGAATTTGAATGTAATTGAATTTGGTTATCAATATTCATCATGAGATCTATCGAATGATGTATGACTCATCCCAAACGGTCACTCCCACTTCTGGTCATTCCCTTATGAGTCGGTTTTCAGTTTTCTTGACGTCACTATGCCCAAATTCCTGGGATCAATTTTTCCCTTAAATTTAACTGTATTTTTAATACAAATCTACATTCTGTTAAAATCATTGTGTTATTTAAACAGCAATTAAAGTGAGAGAAAAAGAAACGATGAGAGAAAGACCTTCAAAGTTAAATCATTCAACGCCCATTTAACGGATAAAAGCCAAAATTCCCTACCAGATTCAAAAGAAACCCATTCAGAGCCTCTCGAAGATTTTCCCTCGTTTTCCTTCTCCAGAGTGCTTCCTTTACTCTCAAGCTCCATTGCTGAAAATATTTTTCATTATATGATGATAAAGTATCTAAATTAAAAACCAAAAAAAAATCGAATTGACTCAAAAGCGATTCGTTGGCTATTTTTGGTGAATAAGAAGCGTTGTTTTGACGGGAATGCCGTGATATCAAAGAGAAAGATAATTTAGAATGCTGGGAGATTTGGCAAGGATAAAAACTTGTTTTTCACTTGGTTTCAAGTAATTTTGGTGATAAAGCCATAAATCAGTAGAATAAACTGCATGATTTAAAAAGTTAATATTGTTACATGAAAGTCTCGCAAAGCTTACACAATTTTTGGGCTTTTTTGGATAAAAGCTGGAGGCAAATGAGAAGTGGAATGGCTACAAAAAAAAGGAACAAAGAAAAGAGATTAATCAAGAAATCAATATTCAAAATTAGACTTCAGTTTTGTTGAAGTTTCACAAGTTTAAAGTTCAATAACAATCAGTTTTCGGCTATTGAATTGGCCCAATAAAAGTAGCAAAACCATTTACAATCTCAAATTTTCAATCCAACAATATAAAGTTTTCTAATTGAGCTTTTTCAAGTAACAAGCCGTAGCTGATCATAAAAAGCTGTAAATAAGCAATTAGGCTATAGAAAAAGCATTATTATAAAATAAAACAACTAAATAAAGCTTGGAACTACTTATCTAAACGTAAAAATATTTTAGTTTACAGATTTGATTTCAAATCTACAAGCAGTACCAGTTTCAAGCGATTCTTAGCCTCACAAAAGCGGTAAATAATTCAAAGCCCTTTTCGGATACAGCTCCAGAACTATAAATATGGCTGGGAAAAGACCGGTCAACGTAGGGGAAAACAAATATTATTGGGGTGGTCAAGCTGGAAAAGGGAAGAGAGAGGGGTGAAAGGGTGAAACGATCCCCCTTTGTCCCTTCTATATTATGATCGATGCATGAAATTGGATCACCGTGAATACGGATCAAGTAATTGGGTGTACGATTTGCTAATTTTAGAGCAACTATTGAAATTATATTGGGTTGGGGAGTATGAAATGGCGGCGTCTTCGGACGAACTTTTGAAAAAAACTAAACCAAAAACCAAACCTTCAGCACATCCATTCCTATTTCTCAAAAACTGTGCATCAGATTGGGATAAAATTTTAAAATTATTATAATATGATTATAATAAAATTTATAATCAACAAAACTTCAATTGTTAGAAGAAAAAAATTCAAGAAAAAGTTATGGTTTATTTTTTTACAAAAGTTTGTCCGAAGACGCCGCCATTTCATACTCCCCAACCCGATATTTTAGTTCAACTTCAACTTCAACCGCTAATTGTAATTTTGTGGACTTCTGAAGACTCCAGACTTGAGTATTGCTAATGTTTCATCATCAAAGCTTACAAGCAGGAGTGTTCCTGGGTCTGTAAACTAGGCCGAGCCAGACTAGACTCAAACCCGGCCAAGATAGGGCCGCCAGCTCTAACCCTATCTCTGCTTGGCCTCAGTTAAATTGTCTTTAGAACCTGCTTGTAAATATTAAACGATGTAGATACCTAAATATCTTAGTTAATCATGAGTACTGTAAATAATCTTTAGTTTCTAAATGCAAACATGTTAATGAACTTTCGAAACACTTATTTGTACAAGGATGAAGCTTAATCAATTAATTGTTTAGAAATTTGGATAAAATGAAGAATATTTTTAGTCTTTATTGTTATCATCCTATAGAATAAAGTGCAAGAATGATAATTGGTAGGTACGGGAAATCGTTGCTTTTACAGAGAGCCTATTTTCGTTTAGATTTAACCAGGCGAGGTAAATATTTTCTTGAAAAGTCGGAGAATTTTTCACAAAAAAGAAATAAAGATATTTATTTAATCATCATTTTTGAGAGACTGAAACTTGGGCGGACTTGGAGAAAAGGCTGATTCATTGATTGTCAATTTACACGAGAATGCGAGTGAGTGATGCGATGAACAAGAAAAATGAGTCAATCGATAAGAAAAATTGTAGAAACGACATCTTACAGTCTTTAAACTTGGAAAGAAAATAGAATTATTGTTCGATATGATTAAGCGAGATCAGTAAAAAGTCAGTAAGCCCAAAAAAGGTACTTCCCGGTTATATTCCTATCACAATATTCCATAATTTTACATTTTGTGAAATTATCATTCATCAAACAAGAATCAAAGATCTATAATATTTTGAGTTGAAAATTAATTTAATGAGAGATAGTAGTAAGTTTTATTGGCTCTTGCGTAGTTTCCGGGTATTATGGAATATTTTAGACAACTCGTCACGCTTTGAAGGCCTATAACTTTGTACAGAGGTAATATTTTAGTTAACTTTTTATATCATTATACAGAGGACATTTCAGGCTTTCAAATGATACCAAATAGAGCTTGATTGGATAATCAAGTCCAAGAAAATCAGAGTCAACTCTGAGCAAATGAGGCCTAGCTAACTCGGGTGTCGTGTCGCCTTGTTTGCATGAGAATGAAAAATCCAATCAAGCTCTATTTGGTATCATTTGAAAGCCTGGAATGTCTTCTGTATAAAGATATAAAAAGTTAACTAAAATATTACCTCTGTACAAAGTTATAGGCCTTCAAAGCGTGACGACCTGTTCAAAATACCAGGAAACTACGCAGGAGCCGTTTTATTTTAAGCTTTATTTACGTTAAATTTGTAAATGGCAAATTGCAGGATAAATCTCGCAAATTGTCGGTTTTTTTAGCTTTAAGCCGATTAGATAAACTGTCAATTTTAATCAGAAATAGCAGAAAAGTTTAAAAGCTTGCTGAGCTATAAAGATCTTAGATTCTCATAGGTTTTCAATAAATAAACGTATAAAACCTATTTCTTCAGAGAAAAATGGACAAAAGTGATCAAATGAAAACTCTGAGATCGAAAAAATTTAAGAATTAAACTTTAAACTATCAGCTTAACAGGCAAAAAGTAGAATCTATTTCTCCGAAGAAATCTGAATGGACAAAGATTTGTTTGAGTGAGAAAAAGAGACTAACAGAACCGACACAGCCATTTCTTTCTCTCAGTCTTTCCTCTTTTTTGCGCGTGACATACAAACCTTTTTCTACATACAGTCAGTTTCTCTAAAATAGGAGAACGACATAAAATTGGAAAAAAGAAAAAGAAAAAGATCGATATCTCGCAAATCTCCCAAATGGAGGCTCTCTTTTGTGGGAAGATCTCGTAAACAACTTTTGACGATTACGTGTCGTATGAAGATTATTATTTGAATGTTGACTGTAATAGGAAAACAAGGATTTGCAAAGAAAACGATAGAAAAATAATACTAGGGAAGGGCAATTCTATAACATTTTATTTTATTTTGAGACACCCTGTATTACCCAATTTCAAAATAACAAATAATCTGGATTTTCAAAGGTTTAAAGATTTCGAGATTTGAATTCCCAGCAGACTTTTCTATTGTAAAAGTTAAGAGTTAGACATTTTATGAGAATATATGAAAACAAATCAAATCAAAACGTCTCCAACAAGAAACAGCTCAATCCAAATCAATATGCAGGTGCGGGTTGGTGAGATGAACGAGGTAACAACGGAAGAGAATGAGAAAAGAGAAAAATCGAGAGAAAGGAAATGAGGTGGACAGTTCGATTGAGGGGGAAGGGAGAAGGACGGAGAGGAGAAGGATGGAGAGGAGAAAGGACATGAAAGGACAAGAAAGGACAACAAAGAGAATAAAGCAAAGAATTTTAATAGAATTGATTTAATTTTATGTATACTCAAATTGTGGAAAGAAAAAGTGGGAATCAATCGGAAAAGAAAGATCAAAGAGAGCTTTTACAAGAAGCCAAGGCAATATTAGTAAAACTGACTTAATAAAAGTGACTTTTAAAATTAATCCAACAAATTCAGGTCTATCAACTTGTTCTCCCCATCAGTCTATGTTTAATTTCTTATCCATTTCTAATCCATTTTCTCCAATATCTTTTTTGAAATGCCAGTATTTGATTGACAAATACAGGATGACACAAAAGTTCAAAGTCACCTTGTTTTTCGATCAAATTTAGCTTTTAAGACAACAAAAAACTATCCAACACTGAATTTTCTTATAAAAGTTGATAATTATAGCAAGTTTATGTTAAATTTAAGGCTTTTGCAAAGATTTAAGGCAATTTTAGGCAAAGATCAGATCTTCTAATTGACAATATATCGCCAGAATCAACCCAAATGCCTGGTCGCTTGAATTTCTCTCAAAAATCATTTGAATTCTCCGAAATTTCTAATTAAACATAGTCAGTGAAAAGCTATTCAATTTTTTAAACTCTCTCTAAACAAATAGCAAAATTTCAGGTTGATTGAAGCTGAAAGGCAAAACCTATAGCTTTAAAAAGTTGGCGAGTCGTTATCGAATTTCAAGTTTTAACTGTTATTTCAAGAAAATAGGTCTATATATTCGATGAGAAGGTTTTGTTTTTGTGGAAAAATGTTTTCTAGACCAAAATTTCATCTAGATTTCAAATTTCTAAACCGTTTTTCAAAAAAATTTCTGTTGGAGGTGCCTAGAAGTCTAAAAACGAGGTGGCTCCGAACTTTTGTGTCACCCTTTATTGGAACTAATAATCTAATAAATACAGGAACCGATAATCTAATAAAAACTAACAATAAGCCTGTTTTCTTCAATTAAATCGTGCATCAAATCATTTCAAAACAACTATTGAACAGCAAATTAAACAGCAAATCAACAAATGTTCTTAAGTCCATTTGTTTTCAAAATTTGATCCCACCTATTACAACTTGATTTCTCCGCAAAGATTTCGTCATTTTCTTGCAAAATTTTACGAATCGACTAAAGGATCAAGTAAATGATACGTATATTTTAAGAAATTGTTGATTTTTCTTGCTTTCAAAGTTTTTAAAGACAATAATTCAAATTTGAGAGGAAGCCTAATGCTCTGTTTTCCTCTGCATTTTCTAAAGCGTTTCTACTTTTGAAAACTACTGTAATCCTGCCTCTAGTCTGTCTACTTTTATATTTTTCAGCATCTTTCGTAAATCCAGGCTGGCTTAGACGAAAAGTAGATTAATTAGATAAAACTAGATCCAAGATTACGAAAGTTTTCGAAAGTTTACACGTTTTATTAGCTTGCCCGAAGTCTTTGGACATTTTTTTACAAATCTGTCTGGAAATTTTTATGTTTCAATGTTTTAAAAGTTAGAAAATGTTTACAAAAGAAAACTTCATCAATTGGTCTACGATTTGCTCTGGATAGATATTAATTATACACTTTTTTATCTTTTTACACAATCTGGACCCGTTTCCAAGAAAATCCGGACGCAAAAGTTAATTTTGATAAAAAATTCGATAAAATTGGTTGAATTGGTTAGTACAAAGGAATTGGTTAAACAGATTTTTTTGAAAATTTGTCTATATGCCTAACTTTTTATGCTCTTTCTTTTTTCTATTGGCATCAGAATAGGTTTGTTTGGGCCAAGGTGTCTAATTGCATGATCATGTCGTTGCTCTTTTTGACTGTCTGAGTTTGAACTCCGAACAAAAAGCCAAAAACAAAGCATTTCTTAAGATTTCAATGATCTTTTATAGAGAAATAGTAGGTTTTTTAAATAGAGGAAACCGTAGGTGAATTGCTTATTCTTAAATAGAAAAATAGTAGGCGTTTTTCATGGAGGAAACCGTAGGTCAATCGATTGATTATTTTTAAATAGCTTTTTAAATGAAGTTTTTAAATTTAACTTTTTAAAGACTTGGCCAACCTAATAGAAAACGCATTAGGGAATTTGCAAAGACTAGATTTCACAAAGGTCAATCAATTGATAAAGTGAAGAACAAAAAAGACTCCGTCAATGCGATTTACTGAAGAAGATGCGATGCGTTTGTGTGGTGTCAGGCTCTATAAGAGAGTATTTTCTTTTTTTTTCCTTTTTTAGTTTGATTCTCCTACTTACCTCTCTCCTCTTTTCTCTTCTCTTTAAGAGAGTGAAGAAGAGGACCCTTCGGTCACCGCTAAGCCAAATAGAGTAGCACGTCTTGGTCTCGAAAATTTCTCTTTACCACAAAGTTTTTCAACGGTTCAAGATCAGACTTTTAGATTAGCTTTTGTAGCTTTTGTAGTTGTGTAGCTAACAATACAGTTAGCCTTGTTGTCTATTAGATTCAAGATTTGCAAGTGAACATTTTCCAGACTTGCCAGAAAACTGACAGAAAAAAAAGGAAATTTTGTTGAAAAGATACCTAAATCTTTGAAGATCTGCAAGAAAACGACAAAGTTTTAACAAAAATAGAATCTAAACGAAATCACAAACGTTTTTATTTGCTAAGATTTGTAGAAAAGACGGTTCTTCATAAAAATAAATAAACTTTTAATGAAAGATTAGTTTTTTTAACATTTTACTTGAAGTTGATTCACTTTTAGCACGATTGAAGCCAGCTTTTTAATTAATAATAGAAAGATTATATCTGGCAGACTTAATTTTCTTTGTTTTCTCTTAACAGCTGAGAATTTGAGAAAGTTTTGAGAAAATTTGAGAAATTTACAACTTAGCAAGTTAAAATAAAAAAGATCTCTAGAAAAAATAAAAAGTCTTCTTCTTTGAGCTTCAAAAGTACAGTACTATTCTCAAAACCTTTCTCAACTCTATGAATCACTTTTGTTGTTGATCAGAAGCTTTACCAATAAGGAAATGTCAACTTTCTGGGCTTAAACCGAAAAAAAATCGCTTTTTGCTTACAAAATCGCTTTTCACGTACAAGGAAGTCTCTTTTAACTAAAAAAAGACTCTTCTTCTTTTCCCCCAAAGGCAACATTGATGAGAAGCTGAAAGACTCAAAGACAAAAGGATCTCACCCCCGAAAATACCTCAAATACAGCTTACTCTTTGGGTTCCCAAAGATACATTTGATTGTAATTTGAACTTTTAATAATCAAAGTGAAATTTATCCGATCACTGAAAATATGAGCAATTTCATTGAGATCCAAAAATTGTACACAAGAATCACTCCGATTTTCTGCGTCGTTCCGGTTTTTTCGGCGCCTCGTCGGATGCTTTCAGTTCAGGCACAGGCTTCTGGCGATAGATTCTGAATTAAATTGATTACAAAATTATCAGACCAAGAGTTTTTAAAGGAAAAATGACCAGTCCATTCTTGAAATTAAGCAGGTTATTATTTTCCATAAATCTAAAGTAGTATCACACAAAGTCAACAAAGAGCACGAACTTCTTCATACAAATTTCTTCTTCTCAAACTTTGCCGGACAAATTTATAGGATCTTTACATTGGAAATTTATAAAGATTGGAATGTAAAAGTAGTTTAAAAGAAGATATGCTACTGAAACCAAGTTTTTAGGTGTAAAAAACTTCCAAGATTATTTTAACAATTCGCAAAAACGTACATGTCTTCTCCTTGAAAGATTACAGATTCAAAGACAAGAAAGTTGAGAAAAATTATAAGACCAAGAGTTTTTAAAGGAAAAATGACCAGTCCATTCTTGAAATGTAGCAAATTTTAATTTTTTAAACAAGATGTCTCTCTTTTAATAGTCACTTTTTGCAGAAAAGAGATTTTCCAGTTGACAATGAATAAGAAACTATCAATTTCTTATTGTTAGCTTTATCAAACTAATTCAAAAGGTTTCAATTAGATCTTTCTTCATTTACTTTACCTAAACTGCCAGAGAATGATGAGACTCATTGCAATGGAAATTCCCCTCAACGAGATCATCTCTAATGATTCGTTTCGTTTTGTTACACATCTCGCCATGTCAGCTGAAAGAATTAGGATAGTCAAATGAAAAAAGCAATAATTATAAATAATTCAGACTCACCAAAAATCACCAGAAACATTGAGGTGAGCGATAACTGACCAGTTGATTTGTTTCGGAAGTTCAAGCGTCCTTGAATGAGCTAAAATTCAATTTTTCTTTAAAAGCTAGCTTGACAAGTTTTCGGCTTTCAACTCACCTTTGCAAGGATGACAATGTGAATGGAGTATTTGAAGATTCCCTTTAGGACAACAGCTGGGATGTAGGAGCCAATCACAGCGAACATTGTCGCCCAACAGGCTGCAATGAAGGCAAAAGCGAACGGGGAATGCGTGGAATAGTGAAGGATGAGAGTGAAAAGAAGCATTTGTTGGATGAAGAGGAAAACCGAGTCGCCATACTTGCTGAAATGGTTATGTTTAGTAAAACAGCAAGCTGCAAACAGTAAATAAAACAAAGATCAAATTTTAGATCCATTAAATCTCTGAATCTTTGGGTATAAACTTAAAATCTCATTTGCTTTATGGTTTAAGAAAAAAACCTAGAACTAACTGTGAAAATTTTGTCACTAAAATAGCTGAAAAGCTATTTTACATACGAAATTTTTATACAGATTATGACGTGCAAAAGGCTAAATTGGGAAAAAGCTGCTGAATAGCAAAACTGTGCCGTTTTTGCGGCTATAAAAGCCGACATTTTCTGTAATTTCTCTCCTTTTTCAGTATTGATTTGTGTTTCTCTGTGAAAGTTGGGTTAGTTGATCACTTGTGAGATAAAATTGTTTGTTTGAGACTTGTTTCATTTGATACCCACCACAATATCTCAATTGCAACACTGACAAACAAAAAGCTCGGGGATTTTAACCCAGAGAAGATCAAAAACTTGAACTTGTGCCATTTTTTGTTTTTCTTTAATCCAATAGTGATATTTTACTTTAAAAGAATTAGTCTTTCTAATTATAAGATATTCAGCTGAAGAATTATAACAGAAGCTTATTGTTTCAACATCTAAATTCAAATTCACAAGCTCGAAATGTTACAAGTTCAAATATTTTTTTTTTTTAAATCGAAACACTTTTCACTAGGTTTCTAATTGTAAAATTTCAAATAGAAATTTTCTTTCTCTCAAAAATCTCTCACCTAAACGTTGTTCCTCGATGAAAGCCATAGGCGGCAGTTCCCGCACTTCCCAACAAGCCAAGAAACTGGAATCTCTGTCATTGTGAGAGACAAATGGCACCTCCCCCAGGCAACAATCACCTGGGGGTATAGCTCAGTGGTAGAGCGCTCGCTTAGCATGCGAGAGGTCTGGGGTTCAATTCCCCATACCTCCAGAAATTTTTTTGTTTTTGCAAAAACTCACCACTGAAAGCAAACTGATTCCCTGGGCACTGCGGGTGTTCAAAATTTTCGCAAACTGTGGAAAGTAAACAAGTGTTGAGGCGGCTGTTATCATCACCGAGAACAAACGAGTAAACGCGATTTTCGCACAATTTGCTGAAATTTTTGGCGAGTTATCAAAGAGCATTTTTTGGTTTACATTTGAAAAAGTCCATCTCGGCGAATAGAACGGTTGTGCAATTTCTCGGGAATAAATATTTAAGAGCCGCATTTGTGTATTGATCGATTTGAATCATCTGAAATTGGGTGAGCTAGTCAAAATGTCAAATTCATCCCAGAAAACGTGTTTTCATTTTAAATCTAAAAATATGGACAACTTTAGCTACCAAGTTAAACAAATCAAGCCACCTTTCAGAAATCCCGCCACAAGTCGCCAAGAATAAAAGTATCAATAGCCAGCCAGAACAATTCAGAGTCAACTCGTGAATGTATGCATGCGTGAGTGTTCGATCCACCAGCTGGCTCCCTTTTCTTCCCTCTATTGGCTTGTTAGTAGCCTCGGTGGGCTCTCTTCATATAATCGATAGCCCTATGTTGGATGGCTGTTGAAGAAAGAGAAGGAGGCAAAGAGAAAGGAACGCTCCTAGTCTAGTACTCTTTTCTTTCTCTATAGTGGTGCTGCTAGTGGGTGAAAAGTCCAAAATCTTGAGTGACAACCTCAAAAAAACTTTTTCTTGTCTAGATTTGCTTATCGGTCGAAGTATTGCCGCTTTTCCCGATTAAATATCATAGTCATTTCAAAACACAATCACACCCTAGATAGTTGAACGTGTTCCACTCTAGTGAAAGTTTACCCATTCTTCTTTAAAAAAGGCTTGTATTAGTGACAACATCTGTAAACCGGTTTAAAGAAAAATCACAGTGAAATACCGAAACGATTGTGTACATGACGCCTAAAGATATACTCGTTCACAGAAGAGATCACAACAAAATGTTAAAGTGCATGAATTAATTGAACATAAATGACACGTGCATAAAAAGAAATTCTCAAATTCTTAAATTGTCGTCACTCGAAAGACCTCTAACTCTTCAATCTCAAATTGCCCGCCATCAACAAGTGGAGGCGAGTTGAAAGTGGCACAATGAGCCGAGCTTCCCTGAAAATTTACAAAAATTAATGTATTTTAAACGATTTGTTCCTTAGTTACTGGGAAACTAGGCAAAATTGAATTCAATCAAAATACAAATTTTAAAACGCACCATCGTAAGCTCGTCGACAATCCGAATTGCATCCCCGTTACCAGATCCAACCTAAAACCAACGTTTGAACAAGATTTATGAAAAATGTTTGAAAACATCACTTTTTAAAACAAAACTAGGCTTGTGGTAAGGAAAATAGAATATCTTTGGTTTTCTCATGTCGATTAAGCCAAAAATGGTAAAATTTCAAATATTTCGAATTAAACAAAAACTCACTATCAACGATTTATCGGTGGCAGTCATAAAGAATTCTGGTGCATTCTTGATGGCATGACCAGCCCAATTGTAGATAAGCTGAAAAAGGAGATTTAAACTGCTAGACTAATATAAATTCACCGGTAAGCCACTCGAATTGGTGTTTTCTAGTCGGAACACATAAGACTCACCAGTTCCAAAGTACCTAAAAATTTGCAAAATATATAATCAAAATAGTTGCAACACTTACTTCCTCTTTTTGCGTTCATTGGAGTCCTTTCGCTCAATCCACGAGGAGCTGCAATATGCACCAAAAATCTCACCATCAATTGTTCGAATAACCATAATTGATTGTTCGGCGTCTTCAACTCTAAAAAAATGAAATTCTATGGCATTTGAAGTAAAAAAACCTTGCCCAAAAGCGGCTGAACGAGATTCCATCATCGGTGAGACGATAAAGGAGTTGTGGAGTAGTGAATTGATAACGCGATGGAAGATTCTTCATGAGATACGCGGACTGCTCATCGTGAACTAAAAGAAACGACTTTAGCAAACTAATATAATACAAAACAAAAATTTGTCAATTTCATGGTTGATTTGACCCTCGGATTTTTAGCAATTTCAAGTAGAAAACATTCATTTTTGCTTCAAATGATCAAGCAATCGCCCTAAGGCGAAAAAGAAATCAACATGAATTTGTATTATTCTATCTTTAGCTGCAATAAATACTTAAATAACGTCGTATCTAACAAGCTAATTTAAATTCCCCAATAGCATTGCTTTGGAATGATCGTTGTTGTCCTATATAGGTTACGCATTTGTTTTTAACCTTGAAAACGGAAAAAGAGCTTATCATACCAATTAAATAATACCGCAAAACCTGTTTCTTGTTTGGTAATTATGGAAGTGGTAAAAAGTAAAGGGAAAATTACCCCTCACAAATAATTTTTATTTTGCATGTACCCTTAATAATAAACAAGGACCCTTAACACCATACTTGCAAAAACACTCACGGATTGTGCTCCGAAAAGACTCGTCGAAAAGTTGCGAGGGTAGACGACGCATGATAAATGAAACAGCTGGCAGATAGGGCCCTTCCTCGTCCACATCAACCGCACAAGCCTTCGGAGATCTCCTCACTCTGCAACATAACAGCATTTTTCACGATACAGAGACACCCAGAGATTCGTTTGTATTCTAAAAACACAATAATCGACACCGGGATAAAAAGGAGGAAATTGGAGAGATGGGCCCAAAAAACATGCAAACATTTTGTACTCAAATGGTGAAGAAGTGTACTTGGGCTACAATTTAACGCTTTTCATATATTTTTTCGTAATTTAGCGCTTTTGTAGGCTTTTCAAAAAAATACTATCGTTACGCACTTTTAAGCATAGATTCTTGTCTTAAAATGATTAAATTGTTAAAAGAACGGGACTATTTTGAGGGAAAAAGTTGCTTTGAAAAGCAACGACGCAAATGGAACTGTTTCGAAAATAATGATTTTATAAACACAGTTAATGGCTATTCAATTTATAGGCTGAACATCTTTTGTCAAAACTTGTGAATGCGAATTTTAAAACAGGGTCTATCCCAAAACAGCGCCGCCAAAACAGCGCCGACCAAAACAGCGCCGTACCCAAAACAGCGCCACCCAAAACAGCGCCAATGCAAAAACGCCCAAAACAGCGACGAGCAAAAAAAATTATTTTATAGATTTTTGCTTTTGCTTTTTCTTTGCTGTTTTTAACTTTTTCTGTCCACTTTTTGTGTTTTTAGGGTAAAAAAGGCGGAGAATCCGATTTTTTTAAAGCTTTACGCATAGAAACCTGCGATAGCGTTTATAAAATTGGCTTTAACCAAAAATAACAATTTTTTTCCTTTTACGGCCTGTTTTTTAACATTTTCACTAACTTTTTATTTCTACTACGGTTCACTTGAAAGCTCTAGCCGTTTATGTTCATCATCGCTAGTGTTATGATGTTTCAGAGTCTCTTGGACTATTAATTTCATGCTATTTTAATGTTTTTTATGCATCGTTTAATTGTTATCGTTTATTGTTGTTGGTCATGTTATTTTTAAATAAATTATCAAAATTAAAAGCTGCTAATAAAAAAAATGAGTGTACATTGTAAAAGAAAAAAAACTTTGTTTTGCATCGGCGCTGTTTTGGGCGTTTTTCATTGGCGCTGTTTTGGGTACGGCGCTATTTTGGGTGGCGCTGTTTTGGTCGGCGCTATTCTGGCGGCGCTGTTTTGGGATAGACCCTTAAAACAAGCTGATAAACTTATACGCAAATTGGATTTTTCTTTGTTTTTCTCTGTTTTGGTGCTTTTTGAGAAGCTCTGCTTATCCAAAAACGAATCACTAATAAATTTTATTGCAAATTTTCCAGGCCTTTATCATAATGTACCTGAATCAAATCAGAATCAAATTAAAGCTGTAAATAGAAACAAAAACAACTACAGAACGAATAAATATTGCACTGACGTTTTTGAATCTCAAAAAGTCAACGAAAATGGAAAATTTGGCATATGAGAACTTTTATATATGGCAAGCGTGGAAATGGAAGTTTGGATTTTTTTAAAATGCAAAATAAGTGAAAAACAAATCGATTAGAGCAAAACGCAAAAAGTGACTAGGATGCAAAAAAATGTAAACGCAAGCAGTCTAGTGCCTTGAATCTTGGCTTTACTGCCATTTCAGTGCGCTAGATGACAAGCGTTTACGAGTTTCTTAAAATTTTATTGATTACTACAATACAGATACTAAACTACTGGCAGAATTGAATTTTTGGATTAAATTGAACTAAATGAAAAAATTCATTGAGTCGAGCTCACATTGAACACCTCCAATTCGTGAATATCGAAAGCGCGAGAGTCGACGAGTGGCGGAGAGCCGAAAGTCGCTGATTGGCCAGACATCCCACAGCTCAACTCCTCCGAGATTCGAATAGCATCTCCTGTTCCCGATCCAACCTAAATTTGATGTTATTGTCTGAATGTTTTTTGATAGTTTCTAATTCGAAATTTGCAAGTAAGTAGTCTGTTTTGGGGTACTTTGTGTATTCCTATTTAGATTTACTATCAGTTGTGAATTGCAAGCGGGTTCGAAGTAAGGGTACCACTTTCAGATTATCGTATTACTTTTGGTGAGTAGTGGGATCTTTCAAATTGTACTTTGAACCTAAAAAAATCAAAGTACAACCTTTCTAGCACACCAAGTTCTCCTTTCAGCATTTTGTTTGTCAGAACCGAACCCAAAACTATTAGGTTGGCAAGAAAAAACCGTGGAATTTTTTTGTCTCTGATTTCTCTAGCGCTTTGAGCATCAGAGTATTTAATAAAGGAGTTTGTTTACTTCAATTCTATCCTATTGATCGCTGAAAAGTCCAAATGAAATTCGTTTGCTTGTTAGCTTTATTTTTATTTCTTTGGAGGCTCCTCAAGAGCTGCTCAATGGTCATCTTCGACGTGTCATTTTGTTTTTTGTCAAAAAAAGTTCCAGTCAAGTAGGTTCATGAAGAGATTCATATTTTTTTATGGACAAGACTACAAGATTTTCATTTTTTCCGGAAGCTAGCTGCAGAACTTGAGCACTTCGGGGACCGAGCTGAGGTCGAAAACGGACTCCGAAAACTCCGTGGTTTCTTCGACCGCCAGCCAAAGAACTTTTAGGAGAAAGGAAACTGTGCTTTGCTCAATAAATGGTGATTATCTTGAATAAATACAGGCTTTAGTTTTTGAGAAATTATTGTACAAACTTTTTCTACGAACTTTCTTGTCAACCTAATAACAACTTTATATCGAAAAACAAGGTTTTGAAAAAATTCAGTCGTACTGTTACATCAGGACAATCAGTAACTTCTAATACTTCCAGAAACAGAAGAGAAACAGCCAAAGCCCTGCTTTACAACCCTTGAAAATCCATTGATCAACCAGAAACTTTGGTTCTAGCCTGGCCTTCTAAGCACGAATCCTGATCTGGAGCTTAACAGTTCATGATTTGGGGTTTTTCCAAGGTTTACAGTGTCTTGTTAGTGACTTACAATCATCAGTCTATCTCCGGCTGCCATGAACATTTGCGGAGCCTTGTCGGGCTCATCCGATGAATTGCCAACCCATTGATAAATTATCTAAAAGATTAATGGTCATCTGTCTACAGCAAGCTTCTACCGGTAAATCGGCGATATCATTTTTGTCAACGCGAAAAACAAACGATTCCCCGGTGCCAAAGTATCTAAATATTTGTGTACAATAGCTACAACAGCTTCAACTTTCTCACTTTGACTTTGATCTCTCTTTTCGATCATTTCTCTCCGACCACGAGGCACTACAATATGCACCCAATACTTCACCCTTGATCGATTTGATGATGAGTAGTGATTGATCGGCTTCATCGACTCTGAAAGTTAACCAATCTACTGTCAAGAACTGTCTGTACTTGACTAATTCTTTACATTATTCGATTTAGCAAATGGATACAGTTGGCTGAGCTAATCTAGACTTTCTGAAACTTTTGAATGGTTTATGAGCAATTTGACATTGTCTTATAGTTACAGTACTGGACAATGAAATATCATCTTTGGAAAAAGGTCGTCACTTTCGCGCGTCTGTAACTCCCTTGTCTTTGAGTTTAAACTATTAGTGTTATACATTTTCTGAAAGCTCTTTTCAAGGGCTACATAATGGTAATATTAATATTTAGAAATACGGTAAAGACAATGGAGTTACAGATGCACGAAAGTCACGATCTTTTTTCAAGTATGATATTTCATTGTCCAGTAGTGTAGCTAGCTATCTCCAGCTTCTAAAACTTTTGCAACAATTCTCGACATTTCAGACATATTTCTTACTTTGTCCAAAGCTGCGTGAATGAGGCTCCATCTTTGCTGAGACGGAACAACAATTGTGGGGTGCTCAATTGTAAACGAGCCGGCAATGATTGCATGATGTAAGAGGCTTGATCGGGGTCAACTGTAAATAAAATCTTTATCTACAGTACAACTTTTCACTTACCAATCACACTTTGAAAGGCATCAGTGAAGAGACGGGCCTTCGACGGGCGCTTTGCCTTTGATACCTTTGCTTCAACTTCCGAAGCCACCTAAAATCTTTGACATAAAATTTAATCTAAAACATCTAAAACATAGCAAATCTTACGATACTGTAACAATGGTCAAAATTTTACCATAAACTTTTTAAGAAAAGATAGTGAAAAGATAGCTATTGTAGTCTCTGTAGTTCCACTGTACAGAGTGGCCCACAGCGCCGCACTTTAGAGGGCCTAGATTGGCCAAAATTGAATCAATCGTTGATTTTTTTGGAGATAAACCTTAACTTTGTCTCCTGGAAAGGTGCCTATTATCTAATCGATTCAAGCTTTCAACTTTCTTATATAGTCTTCCAAAGTAGAGAGCCGATCGTAGCCGAGCGACACTTGCTTCCCAACTTTGGAAGGGTATATAAAAAGTTGAAAGCTTGAATCGATTAGATAATCGGCACCGTTTCAGAAGAAATACTTAAGGTTTACCTCCAGAAAATCAGAACGATCGATTCAATTTTGGCCAATCTAAGCCCTCTAGAGCGCGGCGCTTTAATTGTGGACCACCATGTAGACCAGTCATACTATAACCTAACTGTAAAAGTTATGGTGTAGCCTTACTATAGACCTGTAGTATTTTAACCTTACTGTAATCCTACTATAGATTAGTTATACTGTGACTTTACTTGTGTTTTACTGTACATTAGTCAAACTGTTCCCTTACTGTAGCCCAGTCATGCTGCTGTAATCTTCTTGTAGTCTTACTGTAGATCAGTCATACTGGAATCCTACTTGAGTACTACTGTGGGCTAGTCAAAACTGTAATCGTACTGTAATCATACTGTAGCCTAACTGTAACCGTACTCTGATCATATTTTTCACTTTATGCACCTGTTTCTCAAAGTGTTCCTGAAAGCGTTGAATCGTTGAGCTCTTCAGGTTCCGAATCCGAATGCAAGTCTCAATGAAAGTGTCAGCAGAAATCTGAAAACATAAAATTACAGTTTTTAGAATCTCAATCTTTTTCATCCACCTCACATCCCTTCGCCGTGTTCATGATCTCCTCTTTAACTGCTCGAATTCTCTCTTGTTGCCCCATTCCACCATAACGGTCC